AAAAAAAAAAAAAAAAAAGGAAAAGAAAATTGGTAAGAGAGTAGATTATAGGTGTTTTTACCACAGAAAATAAGTATGTGAGATAGTGCATATATTGGTTTGAATTAGCCATTGCACAATGTTTACATATTTCAAAACATCATGTTATATACAATAAATATATGAATTTTTTTTTTGAGACGGAGTCTGGCTCTGTCACCCAGGCTGGAGTGCAGTGGCACAGTCTTGGCTCACTGCAACCTCTGCCTCCTGGGTTCAAGCAATTCTCCTGCCTCAACCTCCTGAGTAGCTGGGATTACAGGCATGCACCACCATGCCCGGCTAATTTTTGTATTTTTAGTAGAGATGGGGTTTCACCATGTTGGTCAGGCTGGTCTTGGTCTCCTGACCTCATGATCCGCCCCTGTCAGCCTCCCAAAGTGCTGGGATTACAGGCGTGAGCCACTGCACCTGGCCCTGAATTTTTATTTTTCATTAAAAATTAATTTTTAAAAAGAAATGCGAATTCTCAGCCCTTCTCTAACATACTGAATCAGAAACTCTAGGGGATAGTCCCAGTCATCTGTGTTTTGATCAGTCCTCAAGTCTGGAAATGACTAGTGTAAATGCCTTTGTGCCTGTCCGGGCTGTTCTGTTCATACGTACGCACATCATCTATATTCCCACAGAAAGGGACTGTGAGGACATGGGACAGGAGGGGTTCAGGCAGGCAGGAGGTGTCAAGCGTCACAGCCAGCCTGAGCTAGGCCTTCAGTCTCCAGCTGATTACCCCCTCCTCACCTCCTTCACTCCCACTTGTGAACAGACAACACTTGCATCATGATGCTGGAGAAGAGAAGGCTACACTGGGATTTCCACTGGGAGATTCCAGCTTCTCCCCCATCCCCCATTTTTGCAGTCAAACCCTCCATCACTCTTCACTTCCAGGGGGTGATGCTTCAGAGACTGACAACCTCTGGGCTGATGGGGAAGATGGAGTATCCTTCATACACCCCAGCAGCGAGCTCTATCTGCAGCCTCTGGCAGGTATTGGCCCCAACCCCACCTCTCAGCCTGGCCTGGACTTCTTCCTCAATCCCTGAACCCACTCCTGCACTGCACTGAAGAGCCATCTGCACCATGAATAACCTTTCATAGCACAGGATCCTTGCATAGCACAGGGTCATTTGAAAAGTGGGCTGTCGGCCGGGTGCGGTGGCTCAAGCCTATAATCCCAGCACTTTGGGAGGCCGAGACGGGTGGATCACGAAGTCAGGAGATCGAGACCATCCTGGCTAACAAGGTGAAACCCCGTCTCTACTAAAAAAAAAAAATTCAAAAAATTAGCCGGGCGAGGTGGCGGCACCTGTGGTCCCAGCTACTCGGGAGGCTGAGGCAGGAGAATGGTGTGAACCCGGGAGGCGGAGCTTGCAGTGAGCTGAGATCGCGCCACTGCACTCCAGCCTGGG